TTTGTATTGATGTTTCTTATGTGATGTTAGAATTTGTTAGTACACTATATACCCAATTTAAAATGGCTATGCTCAAACTTATAGTAAGGGAAATTGTGAATTCTGTTGCTGATGATGTTATTTTTTGGATAAAACCTGGCAGATTTGGTGAACAATCTTGGTACAATTGCAAGGTCTGGCACCAAGGAATTCATGGAGGCCTTGCAGGCCGGTGCTGATGTCAGCATGATCGGACAGTTTGGTGTGGGTTTCTACTCTGCTTACCTTGTTGCGGAGAAAGTCATTGTCACCACCAAGCACAATGATGATGAGCAGTACATTTGGGAATCCCAAGCTGGTGGTTCGTTCACTGTCACAAGGGATGTCAATGGAGAGCAACTCGGCAGGGGGACCAAGATCACCCTCTTTTTGAAGGAGGATCAGGTAAATAATGTTCTCTTAGTTTTTGAATGCCATTAACCAACTACTTTTGGTGAATAATAGCTAGATGTTACTAATTAAACGAGATATTCGTGAATAGGTTGCCGATAAACTAGAATTCAATGAACAGACAGGTTAAGTTTTTATTCTTGATCATGTCTGGTTATTAGCTGATAGTATTACCGTCTATTCAAGCAGTAGAAATAGAAACCAAAATACAGCTACTTGATATTGATTAGATGAAACATTACAATTACATTCAATTTGTAACAATTGCTTAGGGATCTGAGTAATCTAGTTACAACAGTAAGAGTGATGGGGGCTTTCTTTCTATATGTTTTGAGGTTGAGATGGTGTGAATAGTTGGCATTCTTGTTTGTGTATACTGATTATATGACCAATGTGTAATGTGCAGCTGGAATACCTCGAGGAGAGGAGGATCAAGGACCTTGTGAAGAAGCACTCAGAGTTTATCAGCTACCCAATCTACCTATGGACTGAAAAAACCACCGAGAAAGAAATCAGTGACGACGAAGATGACGAGCCAAAGAAAGAAGAGGAAGGGGACATTGAGGAGGTCAATGAGGACAAAGAGAAAGAGAAAGGCAAGAAAAAGAAGATCAAGGAAGTCTCTCATGAGTGGGAGCTCATCAACAAGCAGAAACCTATCTGGCTCCGCAAACCCGAAGAGATTACAAAGGAGGAGTACGCTGCCTTTTACAAGAGTCTGACCAACGACTGGGAGGAACACCTAGCCGTCAAGCACTTCTCGGTCGAAGGCCAGCTTGAATTTAAGGCCATTCTCTTTGTCCCCAAGCGGGCCCCATTCGACCTGTTCGACACCCGGAAGAAGATGAACAACATCAAGCTCTATGTACGACGGGTCTTCATCATGGACAACTGTGAGGAGCTCATTCCCGAGTACCTCGGGTTTGTGAAGGGAGTTGTTGATTCAGATGATTTGCCGCTCAACATTTCCCGTGAGATGCTTCAGCAGAACAAGATACTGAAGGTCATCAGGAAGAACCTTGTCAAGAAATGCATCGAAATGTTCAACGAGATAGCAGAGAACAAAGAGGACTACAACAAGTTTTATGAGGCGTTCTCCAAGAACTTGAAGCTGGGGATCCATGAGGACAGCCAGAACCGGGCCAAACTGGCCGACTTGCTCAGGTACCATTCGACCAAGAGTGGTGACGAGTTGACCAGCTTGAAAGATTATGTCACTCGAATGAAGGAGGGCCAGAAGGACATTTACTACATAACAGGCGAAAGCAAGAAGGCTGTGGAGAACTCCCCATTCCTGGAAAAACTCAAGAAGAGAGGCTATGAAGTACTTTTCATGGTGGATGCCATTGATGAGTATGCGGTTGGACAGCTCAAGGAATACGATGGGAAGAAATTGGTCTCGGCCACTAAAGAAGGCCTGAAGCTCGATGATGAAACCGAGGAGGATAAGAAGAAAAAGGAGGAGAAGAAAAAGTCATTCGAGAGCCTTTGCAAGGTCATAAAGGATATTCTTGGCGATAAAGTTGAAAAGGTTGTAGTCTCGGACCGAATTGTCGATTCCCCTTGCTGTCTCGTGACCGGCGAATATGGCTGGACAGCGAACATGGAGAGGATCATGAAGGCCCAGGCATTGAGGGATAGTAGCATGAGCTCCTACATGTCGAGCAAGAAGACTATGGAAATCAATCCGGATAATGGGATCATGGAGGAGTTGAGGAAAAGGGCTGAGGTGGACAAGAACGACAAATCTGTCAAGGATCTTGTGCTTTTGCTGTTCGAGACTGCTCTGTTGACTTCTGGGTTCAGTCTGGATGACCCGAACACTTTTGCAGCGAGGATTCATAGGATGTTGAAGCTTGGGCTCAGCATTGACGAGGAAGAAGGTGGTGATGGGGATGATATGCCAGCTCTGGAGGAAGACGGTAATGAGGAGAGCAAGATGGAGGAAGTCGATTAAGGGTTCCGGTCAATGTGCTCTTCTATGTGGATTTTGAGGTTTGGAAATACCAGCGATCTGTGGGTTTTGGGTTCCTTTTGTTTGTTGCATAGGTGGGCATGTTGTGCAGCTGAGTGTCTTTTGTGTTCTGTCAAGTGTTTGTTTTTCTTCTTTTCTTTTCTTTTCTTTTTCACTTTTCGTGGGTGTCTGTTCCTTTTTTAATGTTTTTCTTTGAGTTGGTTGATAGCATGTACCGTCTGTTTTTGATGTATCCTGGATAAATTTCAGATAGTGTTGCCCACCTTCCCAAAGTTGTTTCACGAGTACATTGGTATTGCATCTCTAATTTTACGCATATTTGAAGGGTTAGAAAAAAGACTATAAAGTTAGCTGTAGTAGGCAGCAAGATTTTACATATTACATGGAAAGTTGATTCATCCAAGGCAAAGTAACTCAAATCAAGGATAGAATTATAATCAGGTAGGCCACCTATCATCCGAGGGAGAGTGAATTATAACATTAAGTTAAACATTGATCATACAAAGGAATCAAATCAGAGCTAGAATTATATAACATGAAGTAGGATTAAAATAATTATGTAGATTAAAAAAAAAAAATGGAGGGATGGGATGAATAAACGGTGTACAGCAAATGGGAGCAAGGGAACCTATAAGAAATTAACCTAGTACAAAGGAAATGTTCTTTTATAACTACGCAACCTTCTATAACTACGCAACAATAATTTCCGTAAAAAGAAAAAAAATTGCAACTGTTTAAACATTTAGTAAGATTTGTCTAAATTAATTAGTCAAGCAATCCCGAGAAACTGTGAAATAGAGTAATCACATAGCATAATAACCCAGGTAATATCATTTCTCACAAGTGCCATAAACCAGTATCACATAGCAAAGATAAGAGTATATTTTGCATTCAAGAGAGCTCGCAGTTAGAAAGATCGAGAAAGTTTCCGTCCAAAGTAAAGAAAATTGAAATTTGACAAAGTACAATATGACCAACATCTCAACCAAAATAAACGTTCCACAAAAGTTCGTCATAGACTCATAAGCAACTCCCGGAGAAACTACATAGCAATGAAAATGAACAAACAAAATTAACTAGGAGGTGCTCCACCAAAGCTGCCGGAACCACGGCCAAAACCACCTCGCCCTGAGCCCTGCATGTTCAGAAGTAACATTGTATTTTCAATAACACAAGGGGAAGTAAATTCTAAACAAAGAATTATCAAATCCTTAAACTTTTTGTCAAGGAAAACTCAATAGAAAAAACTGCCATGACAAAAAGAATCTGATAAAACATTGCTACTAGACGTATTCAATCCTTGGATTGTGTTTAGAGAATTCAACTATAACACAGTTGATGGAGTAGGGAAGCTGGAAAAAAAATAGTCATCTCCATCTTTAAAGGTAAATAACAATAAACAATGTCAGGTCAGCTTAAACTGAAGATTGTAAATTCTCGGCAATAATAAATGTCAAATATACCTCAAACCAGACTGATCATGCTCATTTCTCAATCAAAACCAAATTAATATTTTGCTACACTATACAGAAGTTCCAGTACCGACTGAGAAAAAATAATACGAGCTCGTAGCTATAAAAGAAGCATCAGTAAAATGAAATTACCCTGAAGGCAGGTTGGTAATCAGCAGGTGCACCTGATTCACCTTTCTCACCACCAAATTCACCTGGAGGTCCTCTTGGCCCTCCACGGTATCCATCCCGATCACCAAAGCGGGGTCTGTCACCCTCAAATCTAGAAGGTCCGCTGTCATGACAATCCAGATAAAAGAATATATACAAAGTATCAAAAGTGATCAAACTGAAAACCAATTGAAGTTGCAAAACTACATTAAATGCACTAAACATTTACCGGGGTCGGTCACCAGGGGGCCCTCCCATAGGACGGCCAAGGGGCTTGGCGGACTTCTTCAGAGTGGCAGGGACAATCTCGGATGGCAGGTTGAGGTACGTGCGGAGGAACTCGATGCCATCGTTCGTAAGGTACCAATAATAGTGCATCCAAGCAAAGGTCTCACGCACATACTCCTTGGATTTGAAGCTCTGCATGAGCTTGATCACCTGAAGGTTAGGAACGTCAATCTCAGGGTGCTTTGGCAGGTTGTAATCCTTCTTCGCATAGCACACGCCCTCTGTTACACATACACACACAGACGAACACGCAGTCAAGCTTGCCATAGACTAATATCCATTCAAATAGACAGCAAATGCGAAAAAATGATAACTTTACTCTTACCCTGAAAGAGGTATTTGGAGATCTCTCTTCTGTTCTTCTCAGGGATGATCTGAAAACAAAATTATCCATATATTTAGCAGCTTAAAACATATTTTAATTTATTTTGATAAAAAAAAATGGAAATCATTCACATATATCTAATGAGCAAAACAATCTACACAAGTCTGGTTCAAATCGCAGTCTCTATCGAAATGTAAAATCAACAATAAGCGTGCGCGAGCTAGAGAGAGACGTACCATGGCGGCTGAGCGATTGGAGCTTGAGATTGGGGAAGATGGGAAAACTTGAACGAACGAGACGCAGCAGCTCTGTGAAGGGAAGGAGCCCTAATTTATGGTTTAGGGTTTTTTAACCAATAGATAGAATATGGGCCGGGTCGATTTCTTGGGCCTGACTGGGTAGTAATTTGTATAGAGTTGGGCATTGGGAAATTTACGTATTTATACACTATATAAGAATTATTTGCAAATATATCATCTGTATGAATTTTTATCATTAAGATATTTGGTGGACGTCTTTTTTTCACTATTACGAGAGTCTTTGTCTGTCCTCAAAATTTTCTCTCTTCAGTTAGGATATATCTCTCTCTCTCCAATCCAAAATCATGTTTTTAATTTAATTGATTTCTCTCTCCAATTATGATATGTCTCTCTCTCCAATCCAAAATCATGTATTTAATTGAATTACGGCTAAATCTGTTCCGCAAGCAAAAAGAAAAATCAGAAACAAAAAAAAATAACAAATCTAGAGCCTCGATTGGAAAGGAAAAAATTGTTCTTCGCGATTTGTATATTTATATTGTCTATATACGTCATAGAAACATAATCTGACAGTGCTCTAAGATTATTACACATAAGATAAACATGTAAATTAACCGTATAGTTATTCATAAATTAAACAACACGTAAACAACACCACGGGATAAAACATAATACACAATTCTGAATGACTCCAAATATATGTTCAGATATACTGTATATATACATCAGATAAACATAATATGACAGTTCCCTAATATTAACCGTATAGTTATACATAAGATAAATAATATATAAATATTTCTGAAGCGGGATTATACATAGATACACGATTCTCCTGAATGACTGGCAAAGCTTGCTACTCTCGAATAGAGCTCTCGGCGAACTCGCCCAACAAAACAATCGCTACTCTTCCCGCACGGGCCCCGCGAACGGCTGATGTTCGATGAAAAGAAAACGGTGGCACGATGTTGTTGCTGCTCGGAAACGGACCTGTCGAGAAATGGTTGCTCGAAGTTGATGGCGAGACCCGTCGAAAAAAGGGAAAAGGCCGCTGCCCTTCCCGCTAAAGGGAAATGGTTGCTCGAAGTGGCACGGCTAGTAGGCTCTATTTTCTTAAATTGAAGCTTTTTTTGTACAACTTTTCGCTCGGAGTGTTGAAACTGGGTTGTGCGACGAACTCGGGAGCGAGTTATACTTGCTTCGTCTTCACTTTTGGAGGGTTTGTTCTCAATTTTATTTTCCTTTGGCATTGTTCTTCTCAATTTCACCGAAAAATATGGTGCACTCAGCTTCTGAGACGGCTCGTTAGCGAAAGGTTCCCAGATTCTGTGTAACCCGTCCACGTTGGTCGACAGCTCGGAGAGACGAATGACAATGGTGGAGGTTCGCAGGCAAAGAAAGGTTCAGGCGGCAATGGAGGTTTTTCTCTTTTGGATTGGGAGATGATTTTTTTTTTTTTTGGGAATGATGTTGTATGCAAATATACTCAGAGATTTGGGAGAGAGAGAAGCAGATTTCAGTTCTTTTTT